GGTTACTTTTATACAGATTCAAATTCAAAAGCAACATGGAAAAAAAGAAAACTAGTTGAATGATTAAACATTAGGAGAAGTTAACCTTTATCAGTGAATATCATTCTTTTAAAAAAGTTAATTTGAAAAATAAATATATAAATATTAATTTATATATTTTAGCCTCTTCTATCACTCGTAAATTAAATTATTGCCACCATTTCAAAGAGAATGCCACAATGGCACACATGCCATAACTTATCGTCCATAGAATTTCATATCCAAATCATATATCATTTCCCTTTAGCACACACTCGAAATGCTTTTCACCTTTGCTATGGTTACCTTTGCCATTTTTGCCCCCAGATGCGAATATTGTTCATTATGTCCGTCATAATTCATAGTCAGCCACTCAACGCCGGCTCTAAAGTCAAACCCCTCCAAATAAAGTCCTTCCCGCTGAGGGAGTAGCGAAACATCTGCCTTTTCTAAAATATTAAATAAAGCAATCAAATAAATCTTCCAACATGCCTCATTTATTGCAGATTACCATCCCAGGATGCTCCACCGAAAAATGCAGACAAGATGGAAGATGGTTGGATGGCAGGATCAGAGGAACATCCCCCCAGAAAGTTACACGCACGTACAGGCTGCAATTTCCACACCACTATCATTACGGCCAGTTGCCAACAACCCCAACCTCAGACTCCAAAATTGCGTACTTCCCCTCTGCTCCCCATTTTCGTAATCAAGAGTGGGGCCTGTCTGTAAGTGAACCTTCAATTACGGAAAATAACGACGAGTAGCGCAGATTATCTCATTAAAGGCGAAACGCCCCCGCAGCCTAGCTTTTTTTCTTGGCTTCTTTAAATTCAGCTCAGACCCAAATTTGAGTGGGTGTGGGAGGGTCACAGATCTGTTCAGCTGACAAACTAACAAGAATAAAAGCAAAGTTCGGCAATACGAAGTTAATATGCCTCTGCAGCTCTTGCAAACCTTTTACCTTTTTACAAGTCACCGGAAACTTACCAAAAACTAACATGAAAATGGGTCAAAATTTTGATTAACGCTAAAATGAAAAATTGTGATGCAGATTTTTTGAGAATCAAATTACAATTCTTTAGAGGTATGTCACTTTAAAATCGGTTTAAATTTGGTAAAGTAATGAGCATGGGAAGTCCTATTGTGGTCACCTTTTTACAAGACATCGGAAAACTTCAAAAAAAATGACATGAAAATGGGTCAAAAATTGGAACAACGCTAAAATGAAAAATTTTGATGCATATTTTATGAGAATCTAAATACGAGTCTTTAGAGGTAAGCCACTTTGAAATCGGATAAAATTTGGTTAAGTTATGGACTTTGGAAGTCCAGTTATGGGCCACCTTTTAACAACACATCGGAAACTTGGAAATAAATGACATGAAAATGGGTCAAAAATTGGACCAACGCTAAAATGAAAAATTTTGATGCAGATTTTTTGAGAATCTAATTACGAGTCTTTAGAGGTATGCCACTTTGAAATCGGATAAAATTTGGTAAAGTTATGGACTTTGGAAGTCCAGTTATGGGCCACCTTTTAACAACACATCGGAAACTTGGAAATAAATGACATGAAAATGGGTCAAAAATTGGACCAACGCTAAAATGAAAAATTTTGATGCAGTTTTTTTGAGAATCTAATTACGAGTCTTTAGAGGTATGCCACTTTGAAATCGGATAAAATTTGGTTAAGTTATGGACTATGGAAGTCCAGTTATGGGCCACCTTTTAACAACACATCGGAAACTTGGAAATAAATGACATGAAAATGGGTCAAAAATTGGACCAACGCTAAAATGAAAAATTTTGATGCAGATCTTTTGGGAATGAAATTACGAGTTTTTAGAGGTATGCCACTTTAAAATCGGCTTAAATTTTGTAAAGTTATGGACTCTGGAAGTCCAATTGTGGGTCACCTTTTGTACTTGTGGCGTTTTTAGGTCGAAATCACAGACATATGTTTTTTGAAACATGACAATACCCGCTTTAAGGGTATACATTGAATGTATCATTTTGGTTTCGGGGCTTGCCATTAGTGTCTGGCGTCTGGTCTCGTCTGCTCCATGTCCTTGAATGAAAGTTCCAGCGAAAGTGAGAGTAAAACTCGCGACTCGTAGCGCGACACATTTCGCACTAACCATCCCCCTTCCCCTCGTACTTTTCCTGCTTTCCCTTCTTCTTTCACTCGCTCTCACACTTTCACTGCCGTCTTGCCTTTCTGGTCTATAAATTTCTATGGCCAAAGAATGCGTGTTTAATGGCCGGCATTGTGTGTGAGTGTGTGTGTGCTGGAGCTTTAAGCACGTGTGGATGGGGATTTCCCGGGCTCCGTTTTTCCTCCCGTTAGTCCCCCGTTTTCCCACGCTGAGCTCCATTTATTATGCTTCAAAAATATTCGCATTTTTTCCTGGTTTGGTCTTTCGGAATTCGCTGCCTGCTGCAAATGCCATTTTAGAAGATGTTTTATGTGTGTGTTGACATTTTTATTGCGGCAACATGTGTCGAAATTCGCCTTGCCACCCCCCTCTAACTACTTTCACCTCCTTTCCACCCCCTTTTCCACCCCCTAAATCGTTGTTTTGTCTCTGGGTTTTCCTGTGTGTTTGTGTGGAATGTGGAAAACGGTTTACATTGTACTTAGCGTAGAGCAAGAGTTAAATGTATTTCCAGGGATTTTCCGTCACAGGATTTTCAGCTGTCGGATTAACGTAGTTACTATTACGTTCATGTCGTTTTGGAGAACTGTTTTTGCGGTTTAGCTGCGCAACTTTGCCAGCTAAAGTTGTTTTAATTACACGTGCTGATAGGGAAATTTAATTAAATTTGTAATGTACTGATAATCCTGTTAAAATGATAGGTGAAAGTGATTAAAAAGTTCTGAGGGAGTAAAAACTTTCATAGTTGATTTTAAATGTTAGTTAAAATCTTAGGATTTATGTTATGATATGGCTTAGATGTACATAAAATGATCATAATTTTACTTTTAATTAAATTAAGTTGAGAAACAGTTAAGGAATGTTAAACATGACCCAAATATTTGCATACAACTGCGGTCCGACCTAAAGTCAATAACCACACATATTGAAAAACTCTCGTTTTTTTTTCGCTGAGTAATTCTCATTCAAGTCAACTTTTTAATAATTATAAATATAGCTGTATGGGTAAACACGGAACTCATTGATTAAACGGGTATATTGAATACTTAAACTTTTATGTAAGAATTTGATAACAAACACCTATCTTTATCTGGGGAAACTATCAAATTGACTGTTTGTTTTTCTTTGATACTGATAAGAAATATAAACAAGGAAGTTATTGTTCTATTGTAATTACTATCATTATTCTGTAAAATTTATGATGTCACAAAGTAATTTTATCAACTAACTGGTTCGTTAACTCAAATAATTAACGTGTTTGTTGTTTACAAATACACACTGTGGAGTTTTTTGTTTTGGTTGAAATCTGTAAAATAAATATAGATTATTACAGGTTTTTGAAAGACTTTAATATTGTTGCTATAATTTGGCCAACATTTTGTTAATCTCTCATTATCTTCATAAAATGTATTCAAGTTTTATTTTTTAATACAAATAATAACTTAAGTTACGGGGTATCATTTAGTCCAGATCTTTATTATTACATTTTTTCGGCAAAATGCGTGACAAGCGATCCAGAAGTGAAAGTGTACCGCCCAAACTCGTTGATTTTTGTTGTATTTTTTAGCGGATTCACAATTTGAAGCGCTTGGGAATACCCACAGTGTTTGACAAAGTTAAAAATACTTCAAATTTTGAATCGCATATTGATGAATGCGGCAATTATTGCGCAATAATGCCGACAGGTGGTTCGACTGCGTTAGTTTCGCCGTAGCGCCCTTTCCAAGGGCAGTGGGTTCATTGAACCCCCCATGAACTACAAAACTATTACAAATAGCAAGTGGATGGCCAAGGTGAGCCACTTCAGTTAGTGACGAATTTATTGGGACTATTTTGTAGTGCCTCTTGTATCGCTAACCGATCTGTTCGCCAGTAGCCGCTATCGGTTGTTGCCCCAAATTGTGAAAAATTGTGAAAAATAAAACAAACTGACGTAATGGCCCAATCGTCAAGCGAGTGCCTAAGTGTTAACCCGCCAATGGGCTGGGGAAGTTCCCACACACAAAACAATTTTGGGAAAGGTAAATTTTACTTTATTTTGAGAACATCATTTTAATATTTGATGTCCAAAAGTATATCTTTGGGACCGGTTTTCTTGTTTTTATAATACAATTAAAATGAAAACAAAAGTTTGCTAAGTACTTATCTTAAATTATATTTTTAATAAGCCAAAAGTTTGTTCTCAAACATATCTTAATATAGATAGATATTTATAAGTATTATTTAAATAATTTAATTTTAAATAGGAAACATCATCAAGTTGACACTCGTAATTCACATAAATATTTTTCTAGTGCAATTTCAACCAAGTTCCACTTATAATTAAAGTTAATAAGCGCTGGTGACGCGATGCTGTAAAGTCCCCATATCGCTTCAAAAAACGTTCAATTAAATCTGAGAGAGTTGATAAAAAGTTGGTAGTTGCTCATCGTCATCGCAGCGGACATCCCCCATCACATGTGGCATTGAATCTAATTTGGCTGCTATATCGGTCGTTGAACCGATTTGTTTGCGATCGTCGCACTGATCGCTACTCGCACGTTACTAAGATATCAGCAACTTAGCTAGTAAACGCATTGGGATGGCTAAGGCCGATACCGCTGATACCCTGTAAAGTGTGGTACCAGATAAACCCCATTCAGAGGGGTTATCAAAGAGCCACGACTGCACGACTGACTGCTGCAGTCGAGCTGAGAGCCTCACGAAGTGATTAGAAATAGCCATATCAGCCGGCGTATGAGCCAGAGTAAGAGTCGTACTAGCCCAGTATAAATATCACCGCATCGTCACGGCCGTCGCACACAGAAAATGGTATTCAAGCAACTGCGCGGCTCGAGCTCATCGCTCTCTATTCCGACGAGGATGCTCCTGATCCTGTCGCTGATCCTTGGCCTTGGTCTATCCACTGCCGAGGGATATAGTTCAAAGGATCTGCTAACTTGGATGCAGGCCAGTAATTTTGGCTACCAGGTGCTGCAGCAGGCCTTGAATGACAACCAATCTGCGACGGCATCGGAGATGTCCTGTCTGGCGGAGGTTCGCTTGCTCCTTCAAGGAGCCGAGGGCAAGTCCTTGCCAGCTTTGCGGGGTGAGATCTTGGACCAAAAAATAGTTACACATTTACTTATTATATCCCAACCTTCTTCTAGTTCTGGATGCCTGGGGAAAGTTCCCACAAGGCCTTCTTTATGGTCACTTTATGGACATGGGCAACTATGAATCCTGCCTGAGTCTTGACTTAAACAAAAGCCTGGGCAGCAGTATTACCATAAAAGCCGAAGCCAAGTATTGTCTTAGCCGCATTCAATTTGAGAGTCTGTTGCTGGAAGCAGCAGGTGCAGATGCCCTTACTTTGAGCATTGGCACCTGTATACCCTCATCTTGTAGTGCTGCACAGCTTAGCCGATGGCTACAAGGACATCTGCAGGACATGTTCGGAGAGAACTCCACAGGAACTACTTTGGTGCAGGAACAGGACTGTGCTTTGAGCCACAAAGAGCCCATGAATGGACTAGATTGGTTTGCTGTGTAAGTAATGAACATGATAACTTATTAAAGAAAGATTGTATCTCTTTGCCTTTGTTTGCTCAAAACTTACGTAATATGCACTGCATTAAACTGGTTATTTGTGCTTAGACTTGTTTTGAATATCAATATTATAGTTGAGCAGTAATACACAAGGTCAAACTAAAAGTAAATTGTTGTAAATTGTTGTATATAACTATGCTTTGATTATGAACGAGCAAATTAGTTTGTTTTCAAGATGGCTAAAATTTACTCAATTGCAATTGGTCACATTCAAGTGATAATATTTTGGTTTTATTTTTCAGTTCCATTCTTATCTTATTGTGCACTTTGGTTCTTCTGGCCACCATTTTGGATTATGGCGAAGGTGAGAATTATATAAACACATGCTGTTTATGTAGCTTTAAAATCTTAAAATAAGAAAGGATATATATATTCACTGATTTTCACATTTCTGATAAGGGGTTACATATAAATGGCAATCGGTTAAATCAAAAGGCCTTTTTGAGGGGTTTTTTGTTCTACCTTTGCACAATATTTAAATATTTCTATATATTAATTATATACTTTTTATGTATATTTGTCTTTATAGTTTCGATCAAGCTACTGGGAACCTTTTCTCTTCGCCGAAATCTGCCTCAACTGCTCAAGACCTCGAGCACGCCCTCGCCTCGTGTAATTCCTTGTCTAAATGGAATTCGCTGCTTGACCATTATCTGGATTATTCTTGGCCATGGCTATATGTACCTCCTTTTGGCGCCCAATATCAATTCCTATGACATTGTGGCCTGGGCTAAGACACCCTTCTCTATGGTGATGCAAAGTGGATCTACCTCAGTGGACACATTTTTCCTACTTAGTGGTCTGCTTTTGGTTTTAACCACACTTCGCGAATTGGAGCGGTGAGTTTGGATATTTGTAATAATGGGATTAGTATTTATTGTTTATTTCTTATTTCTTTTTCCATTATACAGAACTAAAGGTCGTCTCCATGTCCCACTGATGTACCTGCATCGCCTGGTGCGACTGACTCCTGTTTTGGCTTTGGCGGTCCTCATTTTCATGACACTTTTTCCCCGTTTGGACAGTGGTCCTTTGTGGAAGCAGTTCACCAGCTCATCAGAACTCTGCAGCGATACTTGGTGGGCCACTTTGCTCTATGTCCAAAACTACGCCGCTCCAGGAAGAATGGTAAGTATTTCCAATCACCCTAAATGGCATTTGAAACTTTTATAATCTTGAAACATATTTTAGTGCTTAGGACATTCCTGGTATTTGGCAGTAGACATGCAACTGTATATCATCTCCCCTCTTTTGCTAATCGCCCTCTATAAATGGGGTAAAAAAGCCTTTGGAGGCATTGTTCTTTTGATTCTGCTACTTTTTGGCTGCGTCTTTAGCATAGTTATGCTGCGGGAATTGAAGGTGTTCGACCGTCATGGGTAAGTCTATTCAATATAAGATCCATATAGATAAAAAGTCCATAAAAATGAAGGGAAAATCTAATCGCCTTAACAATTATTCTCCCCGTTTTTCAATTTACGATATCACCAAAAAAGGTTATGACTTTTTTCCAGACCATATAGTTTTATTAAAACCAGCTAGTTAATTATGCTAATTTAATTATCCTTTTTTCCACAGAAACCTAGGTGGCGATAGCCCCGAAATGCGGCTCATCTACTACACCACTCATGCCAGAGCCACTCCTTGGTTGATTGGACTCCTCTTCGGTTACTTTTTGCACCACCAGGGTGGAAGAAAGAGCCGCCTGCCAAAGTGGTTGGCTTTTCTATTATGGATCCTGTCCCTCTCCTTGGTGGCCACTGTGATCTTTGCCGTGTATCCTTACACCCAGGACGGAGTGGAGGATATAAGCCCGCTGGCTGGAGCCTTTTATCTGTGCTGCAGTAGGATTGCCTGGCCTTTGGCCTTGTGTTGGATCATCTGGGCCTGCCAGAATGGATTGGCTCCCATTATAAATGACTTTCTAAGCTGGACATTCTGGCAGCCCCTCTCCAAGATTTCCTACTGCCTTTATATTTGGCATCTTTTGGTGGAAACAGTTCACATAGCGCGGATCAAGACCAGTCTGCACTTCTCCGACTACGATGCTGTAAGTAGATTGAACTTATTTACTCTTTTAAGCATTTTGTAAATGATTATTTTATATCTATTTAAGATCCTACGCTTCTGGTCGGACTTTGGCATTACCTTACTCGTCTCCTTGTTCATGCATTTGTTTGTGGAGGTACCACTGGGACGCCTCGAATTGGAATTGCTACGCAGTCGCAAAAAGCCGGAAGTCAAATCTCAACCTCCAGAGGCAGATAATTCCAGTCAACTTACCGCTATTCCAGTCACTAGTATTTCCCGCCAGAATTTAGTCGACCCCTAAACAAAGATTTTATAATTGTTATGTTTAAAACGATGTACATAGTTATCAACTAAGTTGCACTGCCGATTACCGATGTAAATGTGATTATAAATTGTGATTATAAACTGTGAATTTGTTTTTATATTTATAAGCTAAAATTTTTTTAATAATTTATAAGCTCAGCCCATTTCAGTTTAGATATATAAACATAAACATGCCCTAAAATCTGATGGCACAAAAGAAGCCCCCAAAAGTATGCAAAATAAATTTGCCTTAATGTAGAATGTAAAGTTGATGTAAAATGTACATACAATTGTATATAAGCTTATGTGTATTTTCTCAGCTAAATTAACTCAAGAATATTTTAAATTAGCTAATTGACTGAAATAAAGATAAACTTCCAAAGGCAAAACTAATCCCTTTCTTTCCACGTTCACATTATACATATTATTTAAAATGTTGAGCTATAAATTTTGGGCCCACATCACGTATGAGCAATGCGCCCCGCTCATATATCACAATCCTTTCAATCAGCTTCACAAGAGCAAATTCTGACCAATTTTCTCTGAGCCAGCTCCCAACCCAGCATATCTTTATTGTAGACCCATTTCCCACAACAATTACCCTTTAACATACACAAATTCCACATCACGTATACGCCTCCGTGGACCGCCCATCCGTTCGAAAATTGGTCGTTGGGTTTTTCGGGTGTTCGCCATGCCATCAACCATCTAAAATAGGGAGGGGCGGTGCGGGGTCGGACATCTATGCAAAGCTAAACGTGCAGCAACTAACAACTAAATTTCATTAAACCGCAGCGCACAAATTGAACTACAACAAACCCACCGCCATCACCAAAACAGCAAAACACCATCCTCATCAACATCAACGGCCCAAAACAGCAGCAAAAACAAATGCCGCAGGAGGGAAAATTTAAGTGCCTTCGGCGACCAAACGAACCAATTTTGTAGCGGCCATTTCAGGGAGTCAAAGCTTCAAAAAAAACCAAAAAAAAAAATGGAGACCAGCAAAATGAAGCGGCATGAAGTTAATGCCGCAGACTACAGCCATGTGCTCTATGAGGCAGCGGATGCCAAAAAGCAGCCAGGACAACAACTCGTGCATGAAGCGACCAAGTGGGTGGGTGGCTGCACGGAGGAGTGGGCGTTGGGTGGGCGGCACAAGGACAGAGGGTGGACAAAAATCACGCAACGGAGCATGACAAGCAAACGCAACGTAGCGCATCCTGGCTGCCTTTTTGCCACGTTTCCAGGCACAGCATCCCCATCGTCCCGGGACTCCTGGACAACTTCAAAAATGCTGCAGCTGTTCGATGGGTCCTTCGACCCCCCCAAAAAATACTGCCCCTTCAGGGACACCACCCGTTTCGCCACCCGCTCTCTAGTTCAGCGTGATAATAAAATGAAAACTTTGAACGGCCAAGTGAAGGAATGAAGCAAGATCGAAGACACTGAGGAAAATAAGATGATGGAAAGAAATAATTAAATTTATCTACAAAAATATAGAATTTTTAAAACAACATTAAAACAACTAAAATCATACTATTCGTGTATACAATTTAAAGGATGAACTTTATAGGAAATTCTCCAAAAAAATGAAAACAATTTTATTGGGACAGAAGTTTTTAAGGATTTTTTTTAAGGGTTCACATTGAACCCTATGTTTCTTTAAAAATTTGTATTTTATTTTTTTTATATTTAACATTTAAAAAATTCCATTTAGTAGAGTAAGTATTCCGAAATATAATAATTATATTCATTCTTAAGCAAACAAATAGCATTTATTTACTCTTATAAAATCAATCAAAATTTATCTTTCAGTGGACTGGGCCAGGCCAACAGCTCTGGCTGTTCCTGGCGACCAACGGCGCACCGCATGTCTGGCATATTTAATTTATTTATTTTATGCAAATTTTGGATAATGTATCTGCGGCCGCAGGATACAAAATACAAAATACACAAACGCAAATACAAACACAAACGACGGCAGAGCCCCAACCGCAGCAGGAGGAGTAGATGTAACAACATCAAGGGGTTTCCCAAGGTGGAGCTACCCCCTCAGCCCCCCAAGTCCCCAACTTTCCGAAAACACCCCCTCCCCCAATTGCCCATCTCCAGTCAAACAAAAAATGTTCCATAATGAAAGCAATTGTTGCCAAACCGCGCAGCGTACAAAATTATTCAGCATAGTTGCTGGAAGAGACACCATAAACGGTCGAAGGACCAAGGACGAAGGACGAGGGGAGGGGGAGGGGCGACAGCTGGATGCGGTTGCCAGAGCGATATTTAGCATTATACGCTTCATTGTCTAAAGTGGCGCCCAGGGAGAACCTCTGCCCCACCGCCTCTTATTGTATTTATTCAAAAGTTAGAACACCGCCTGCTTGCACTAACTACTAATGTGCGGTTCCCTCCATATACAAAATGGGGGGCGAACAAAGGGGGGCGTGGCAGCCCGGTGGCAAGTTCTATCCAGCGCCATTTGCTTTTTATTGTTCAAAACTGTTGAAAAGTTTCGCCATAATTTTGTAAAATTTTTTCCATCTTACTATTTTTTATCTATGGAAATTCGGTAGCGTTTTCAAATAATGAAAGTTTTTGTAACATTTTCATCATTTACGGATGGGAAATTATTTTTATTTTATTTTTACAGATTTTCAAATGGTTATTTTTAATATATATATTTAATTTAATCAGTATAAAATATTTATCAAAAGGAAGAGTTTTAACATAGAAGATTTATAAATGGTACTTAAAACTATTTAGTCTTTGCTATTTTTCTTAAATTAAGATTTAAAGAGCAAGAAACAAATAATCCGTATTCAGTATTAAAAAAATATTTTTATATAGGTCTTCGATTTTTAATTATATATTTTTCTCTTACCGCGGCACCACCAAGTTCCCTTCAAATTTTCGACCATGCCAGAATAAATATTACGTATACGTAACGTTGGCGGTAGAGGATTTTTACTAATTAAAATGGTTTTTCCGCTGACGCTGCCGCATACCCCAGCGAATGTTTATAATTCCCCCAACGATTTGCAAAATGCAGCAAAAGGAAATATACATTTATATACACACATTTAAATGGAACCGTATTTCAGGCAGCTCATGAATAAGTTGCGCTCCTCATGCGAACTCAGCTCGCCCATAAATTAGCATTAAGAGAGCTCGGGGCGTGGATTTTGATGATTCTCGTGGCCATTTTTTTTGCGAAGGAGACCACTATCACGTGCAGCTAATAAATCTGCCCGAGAGGGGCATTTAAAAGGATTACGAATCATCGAAGGCCTGTCCGGATAAAAGTGATTAAGTCTGACCACGACGTGGCAACCTTTTTTGCGTTCTTTCGTTTTTTTTCGGGTTCCTTTCTTCTTTCTTTTTTACTTTCCATTGGACGGTTTTTTTTTTCGTTGGCTGCGATGTTTGTGCAATTGTATGTGAAACATTTCTGGACTTTTAACCCTTTTTTATGGGTCTGACGGGGTCGGAGGTCTTGGACTGTCGCTTGCAGTCCATTTACCTGCACAATTGAATGATTTCCTAAGCCCCGGAGTGGGTTGAAGCTATAGTCTTGATGGGTTTTGGGGTTGGTGGCGAAAAGAGTGCGCAGTTTGTTTATTCTTTGAGTGGAAACTGAATGTTAAGCAATGCTATCGGCATTTCATTGAGGGGTAATTTATGAGTCTGTTAGATTTCTCAAAGCGATTGGGTAAAGTTATATTGCAAGTTAAAAGGAATGAGAACCTCACAACTTAAAAAAATACTTACTGAAAAACTTTAAAACTGCATATTATCAAATTTAATTTCTGAACATTGCGCAGGTTGAATTAGTTTTCTCATGGCAAATTAAAGCGCCAGCATAGTTGCCTCATTCATATCTTTTATAATTTAGTTGTGCCATAAACCTCTCAGGAAAACTAAGAACTGGCCGAAATAAAGCCTGAAGAATATGAAACAAAGAAAAGGAAAGAGTTCGTTGGATGCTCTTGTATTCTTCCGCTTCCTCCCGGCTGGAAATCATAAATATTCACTAACTGAGAGCAGGAAGCGCCGGGCGAGGACATTAGTTAGCCGGCGAGGACAGGACCAAAATTACAATTTTTGCCAACCAACTTGCCACACCCGATCCCTACAACTACTGCTTCCCGATTTCCACTCTTCCACTCCTCCAGACTCTCTGCTTTTCCGGCAAAGGACTCCAGCTCATCATAAAGGACGACTCCCACGTAGGATCCTGTGGGGGTGGCATTTTATGTGTGGTCAGGCAATTTGCTGCTTTACAATAAGTGGCAGGGACATAAAAATAATAATTATGCTTGTACCTTTTATGATTATGGTGTGAAAACAACAATTGTTCCCCCAAAAAAAGGACAACGCACAAGGATATTTACGAGCCGTGTGTAGGTGGAGCTTTAAGGAACAAATTATTAAAACAACAAGGGCAGGCGCAATACAACATAGGAAAAGGAAAAGAAAAACCTCAACGCGAACAACTCAATGTTAATGGGCAGGTTTGAGGGGCGGGGCAGTAGTCCTCCAGCAGGACTCTCCATTTCCTTGGCCTTAGCTCCTGGCTTAGCGCTTTCCCGTCTGCTTTCAGCACAATAAACAAAAAGTAATTTTCACAAATTTGCCAAACTTGTAAGCCCGAAAGCAAGCGAACCATTGGAATTTATGTGGCGTGCCCGCTTTGAGAGTGGACCCAGGTGCTATTCCTGCCACTCCCCCGAGAACTAGACACGAACCTTTCTTGGCTCCGGATGCGGCAAGTTCTTCAGCCATTTTTATTTGTGGTGTTGGCGTGGTGTTTTCCACGGGAAGGAAACTGTCGCGACGCCATTTATTATCCGCCGTCTGAAGGGTCGCCCATTGTCGCCTGTCGCCGGAGTCTCACTCCCACTTTAATAGATATGGTTAATGTGTGTGCGGCTAAGCTATCTCTGCATGTGCATCCGTAGCCCCAAATCCAGCCCGTACTCCGATTTGGGGTCCCTGTTCCAGTTCCGCTCGATTGTCCTGCTCTGGGGAGTGTTTGAAAAACTCCAAGTGTCAGGGGATTTGATGCGACTGTGGGAAAAACTCCTAGTCCAGGGGAATAAAAT